GTGGTGGAGTCGTTTTCTCCAGCCCTTGGATCTAGGTTGGTCTTATGAATTGCTTTGGCCAAGAGATTTCAGCAGAAGTGATGGTGTTCCAGTTCCGGGCCGAGGTCTTACACTGCCATGTCGTCTCTTGGAACCCACTCACCCACCATGAGAGCAAGGCAGGGCTAGTCTGCTTGAGAATGGGAGACCATGTAGTGTAACTCAAGTCAGCCCAGTCAGCCCAGACGAACCCCAGATATGCGGGACAGGCAGCCAAGATCAGCAAAGCCATCCCACAGCTGCTTGCAGATGCCTGAGGAAGCTTAACTGAGCTCATAAGAACTGCTCAACTGAACCCAGCTAAATTTCTGACCCAGGGAAGCATGAGCTAAGTAAATGGTTGTTGTTTAAAGTCATTGAATTCTAAGATGGCTGATTACTGTCAAAAGCTAACTGTCACTCTGGCTCACTGGGTACTTGGCACTGCCTTTTCCAAAACCTTAGCATGTCCGAGAGGTATACCTGGGACCCCATTGTCTTGGTTTCTTCAGGCTGCTATAACAAAATACCGCACACTGAGGGGCTTATAAACAACAAAAATTTACTTCTCACAGTTCTAGAGGCTGGAAGTCCTAGATCAGGGTGCCAGTGTGGACAGGTGAAGCCGTCTTCTGGGTTACAGAGGACTCACTGTATCCTCACATGGCAGATGGGGGGCGAGGGAGCTCTGTGGGGTCTCTTTTTATAAGAGCATTAATCCCATTCATGAGGGCTCTGCCCTCATGATCTAGTCACCTCTCAAAGGCCCCACCTCCTAATCCCACCACCTTGGGGTTTAGGTTTCAACAAATGAATTTTGAGGGGACACAAACATGCAGACGACAGCACCTATGAACCTCTTAACAAAGATGTACATGTCTGAAAGGATGCATATTTTGAAACGATTAAGCAGCTCAAGAACCATCACCCAGAAAGTGTTGTTGCTACTTGTCAGCATTTGAAAGTCACGCTATTTAGAATTAACTCTTCTTGAGGAAAAATTAATTGCTGTGTAGAAGTCCAAGCAGGTAGCACTTTTTAATCCCTGTAGTCAAATGTGAATATTTCTTAAAGACTTAATTTTCTCCATCAAGAGCTCATTCTTCCCATTTACCAGCTGTCTCTTCCTGTTCATTAGCTGCTGCTGAGTACTGATTGGATAAAGGCTCTGTAAGGAGAGCAGTTGTCCCTTAGCCTGATCCCCAGGGTCACATCTAATTGGGAAAAAATGGTAGGTATGGGATTATTGACCACAGAGATAGCAGCCTTTCTGTTGAGAGCTGTGATCAGCTTCTTTCACAGTTTTGCAAAATAGCAAGAAAGTAATTTTCACCACTACTGGCAACAAAAAATTCTAGCAGTGAGGTTTCAGATCGTGCTGCAAGAACAGCCCCTCAGCTTAGTTGCTCTTTTCAATGAAAGTTTCTGTGTGGGTGAATCTCAGAGAGATGTACTCCAACTGGTATATTTCTTGGAGTTGAGGGTATAAGTGTCATTTTCATCCTACTTTGTTTAATCTATTTTAAGAACTCTTTATATATTAGGGAAATAAAACTTTTCTCTATGATCTATGTCCCAGATGGGTTTTTTCTTTTCTGTTTTCTTTTGATTTTGCTTACGGTGGTGTTTGCTATAAAGAAAGTAAAATTTTTATGTTGTCAAATGCATCAATCTCTTAAGATTTCTGGGTTTTGCGTCATAGTTAAAGAAGCCTTTTCCTCTCTGAGTTTCTAAAATTATTCTCGCATCTTTTCTTCTAGCGTTTAATGATTTTGCCTTTTATCCTTTCAAACCTTTTTTGAAAAAAACCTTCAAGCCACTTGGAATTTATTTTGGTACGGGTGTCCCCCACTATCCGAAAGTTTGCTTTATTCCCCTTCTCTTTCACAAAAGACCTACATTAATGCCTGCTGAGTGAAAGAAATCAGAAGAGGATTTTCACTTTTATGAAAAAAAGGCAAAAGGAGAAAATAGCAGTCAGCGTTTGCTTTGCAGGGAGGCGTTATAAGGGCTAAACAATGAAGCCTACTGTCATATTCCAAACCCTCCATGTCAGCCACAATAGACAACAGACCTCAATCTTTGACACCGAGGCGGGCAGATATAGAAGATGTAGACATTAGTGACCCGCCTCCCCTGATGGATTCAGACAACGATGAGATGAGAGTAGCCGCCCCTCTTCCTCTCTCTCCTACACTCAAGTCTCCTGTACCTCCCACCAACTCAGCCTCTGATGACTCAATCTAACACACCCTGGTCACCACCGCCACCTCTCAGCCATCGAGTGTGCTTGCTGTCTTCCGCATTCTGGTGAGTGAAACTACACTATACATACATTATTTCTACTTTATATAGGCTGTGTATTTACCATGTCATTCCTGCTTTTACTATGTGTCAGTGTCATTTTAGATTTTATGTGTTATTTGGTATGTTTTGGTAGGTTATTTTTTGGGTCTGGTAACATTCAAAATTTTTTCCATGTAAATTAATAGTAACTGCTTCTTTGCTTTATGCCATTTCAGCTGATAGAAGGTTTCATAGGAACACTCTACTTTTGGATAGTGACAGAAACCTGTATAAGCGTTTTCAGATGGTTAAAGGTGATTCCCAAACCATTTATTGAATAGTCCATTTTCCTCTACTGATTTGAGATGCTAGTTTTTATTGCATAATAAATTTCCACATGCATATAGATCTGTTCCTTGATTTTTCATTCCCTTCCCTTGCTCATCTATTATTTCACCAATGCACACTCTTTTAAATATTCAGATTTTATAATGTTTTAATATCTTTTAAATCTTTTTAATTTTTTCTTTACTATTTTTGCTCATTTACTTTTTCATATTAATTTTAGAATCAGTTTGTCCAATTAAAAAAATTCTGTTAGTATATTTGTTGGAGTCACATTAAAGTTTTTGGTTAGCTTACAGAGAACTATTATTATAATATTGGATGTAGTATTCTTTATGTTCAGTGTACTTCTCTGATCATTTTGAGAATTTAAGTTTTGTTCACATAGTTCTTTACACTTCTTATTAAGTTGGTTCTTAGGTATTTTACCTTTTTAAATCCTATTATAAATTGATCCTTTTCTCCTATTATATTTTCAAATCTGTTTGTTTATATAAAGCTATTGATTTATGAATATTCATGGTATATGCCACCATGTTATTAAATTTTTATTTGGTTCCCATGAGATTTCCAGGTATATGAGCCCATAATCTATAAACAGTGATAATTTTAACCTCTTCCATTTTTATTATCTCAAATTTCTTCTTCTAATCTAATTGTGCTGTTTAGTAACTTCAAAAACCTACTAAGTGATAATGGTGAATGTGACTGTGCTGATTAAAAATATGCCCATAGTATCTATCCAAAGAACTTGAAATCAGCAATTCAAAGAGACTCATGCACCCCTATGTTCACTGCAGCATTATTCACAATAGCCAAGACGTGGAAGCAACCTAAGTGCCCAGCAACTGATGATTCGATAAAGAAGATATCATGTATATATACACAATGGAATACTACTCAGCCATAAACAAGGATAAAATCACCCCATTCACATCAACCTTGAGGGTACTATGTTAAGTGAAATAAGCAAGAAAGACAATAAAAGACAATCTCTGTATGACTCCACTCATATGTGGAAGATAAGCACGCAGACAAAGAGAACAGATTAGTGGTTACCAGTGGAAAGGGTGCATGGCAGGTGGGCACAAAGGGTGAAGTGGTGCACCTATAATATGACTGACAAATAATAATGTACAATTGAAATTTCACAAGGTTATAAACTATCATAACCTCAATAGAAAATAAAATAGAAAAAAATATGCCCACAAGTTCTTTGACATTCATCCCTTCAAAAGATGGAGACCAAGTCTCTTCATGAAGGGATGCTGGACTGAGTAACTTGCTTCTATTGAACAGAAACAAAGTGGAAGAGATGGTGTGTGATTTTGGAGACCAGGTCATAAAAGGCACTGTGGCTGCATCTCTCTCTTGTTTTACTTACTCTGGGGTGTGTGTGTGTGTGTGTGTGTGTATGTGTGTGAGTGTGTGCTCAGGCAACCCTATGGTCCCAAATGTTGAGGTACAGAGGCTTCTGGCCAACAGTCACGCTAGTGAGCTTAGAAGTGGTTCCTCCTGCCCCAGTTAAGCCTTCAGATGACTGCAGCCCCAGCTGATATCCTGACCGTAACCTTTTGAGAAAGCTTGAGCCAGAACAATACAGCTAAGCTGCCCCCAGGATAGGTGTTGGTGCAGATTTTCTTTATTGGAATGGATTATAAACTGATTCACAAAAAACCCACCAAGTTTAAAAATGAATTGTTTTAGCTTGGACTGAAAGGGACAACGTCAGTACAACATGAAGAGAGGACTTCAGATCCCTGCACAACTATAGACAGGAAGCAGCTGAGAAAACCATTTAGCTGTAAACATGGGCTTCTTTTTATAGAAGTGAAAGGATAACTCAGAGAGTGGAACGGAGAAGAGCCCAGTGGATGGAGACAAGAGCCACTGAGTATTCCCAGGAAGTATGACAGAGTCCTTCTAATCAAGGAACTGGCAACCTTTACCCAACTGAATTTCAGAATTTCTATGGACTAGTGACTGCTATATACCTTCCATTTCCACCCTCTTTGAAGGGAAATGTCTGTAAAGACAGTTTTCGATACCTCTCCCATCATTACATGTAACATGTGGTAGTGGTTGGGGCAGATCACTTGTCTTTTTAATTCACAGATCTTCATATGGAGAGGAACAACTTGAGTTACACCCAAGGAACTGCATCCAGGGAGCCTCACCTGCTCCAGGGCCTCCCAAGATCCTGGACCTTAATGCTGTAATGGAATGAGAACTTTGCAGGGGTCTGGGGAAGCGGTGAGTGTATTTTGCATGTGGAAAGTATGTAAAACACTTGTGGCCAGAGGATGGATTTTGGAAGTTTTAAAACATGGCCCCCAAATTATTTAACTCACCTCTCATCAATCTGATTTTGTGGCTGTTTGACTAATAGGATTCAGTACAGAATGAAGATTCTGGGTCAGTTTCTGGTCCCAGGCCTTGAGTGTTAAAGAAAAAAATATTCAATGACACTTGTTAAAGATGGTAAGGCAGACTTTATTCAGGACCATTACAGTAGGTATAGGGCCCACTGCAATGGGATTTTGCAGTTGGGGAGAGAGATTGGGCGCAACTCCAAACCCAGCATGGTCAGTGGGAATTTAGAACCAGAGCACGGTGGTCAGAGGATGGAAAATTACTACGAAGAAACATCAAGGGTAAGGAAGGTTCTGGCTAAACCCACCTAACAGGATTCTTGTTGAAGGCAGGCCAGGGTGATCTGTTATCACCTGGGGGATGGTGGAGGCTAAAGAATCTTATCAGATATCGAGGTAGAGGGTTTCACAAGGAAGCACAGAGATGAGCCTAGGGAGAGAGTTCAGGAGCCTGACTAAAATTTGGCCAAGCAAGGAATCTTTGTCATAAAAAATTGGCAGCTTCCACTTCCTAGTTTGGGACACTTGCTTTCCGGACCCAGCTGCCACGCTGTTAGGAAGTCAAGCCCACACGGAAAGGCCATGTGTAGGCATTCCAGTAGTCCCAACTCAGGTCCCAGTGGACGGCGAGCATCAAGCAACAAACATGTTGGTGCAGCAGCCCTCACATGACTTTAGTCCCGGCCATATGACTGCATCCGTAGGAGAGACCCTTTGGGAGAGACACCTAGCTACGCCCAGTGAACGCCAGACCATGAGATACAACAATAACACGATCGCCTGCTGTTACTGCGACGGAACCCTTAATTTAAGTCAGCCTGGCCATACCGCTTACGGCTATCAGTAGTTGGGAAAAGACTTTCCAAAGCTCTTTCTCGGGAGCGTTGATTGGATTACACTAACATCAATCAAGATTTTCTGCCCAGGGGGCCTTTCAGGCCCCAGAAAGAAAGTGAGCCTATTGGCTAAGACTCCCAACCGCGCTCTCCATCTATAGTGCGGGCAAAACCCAGAGACTACCTGAAAAGACCACAGGGGAGCAAGGCAGCTCCGGAAGTGGCGTTTCGGGCTGCTTCCTCTAGTGCAGTCCAATGAGCTCTTTCTTTTGGTAGCAAACTCAGTTCTCGAGTCCGCCCAAGAGGAAGAACGTTTTGATTGGTTGTTTAGCCCGGGGCACAGAGATTCACGGGAGCCTCGACCAAACGCTTGCCGCTATTGTCCAGTTCGCCTGTCAATCAGCTGACCTCTCTGCATGGGCGGAACTGGCTGTCCTTTTGGCACCGCCTCTTCCTGGGTTGGAGCGTAGGGAGGCTGCAAGGCCGCAGGGGCTGGGAACCTGCCGCTTGGGCGGGGCCGGTATCACGGCCGGGACAGTTCCTCGGCCGCGAAGCGCCGGCAGTGTCCCGAAGCGCGTGGCCGGGCGGGGCTGGCCTGGGCGAGGGGCGAACGCGGGGGCGGGGCCGGGGCGGGGCCGGAGGAGGCGGAAGCCGCGCGCGAGCTGGAGCCGGAGCCGTATCGAAGCCAGCGTCCGGGCCGGCGGGACGGCGTCGGCGGGGTTGGCCGGGGCGGCGGGGCGCTAGAGCCTGGGCGGGCGGGCCGAGGGCCGGGGGTCGGGGGACGGGCGGGCTCGCTCCCGCGCGGGCATCGGAGCGGGCTGAGCTCCCGCCCCCGCGCAGTGCCGGGGAGGATGCGGCCCGGGGCCCCGGGGTGGGGCGGGCGGCGGCGGCTGCAGCGCTAGCGGCGCAGGGGGTGGGCGGCGGCGGTATGAGGCGCGGGGCCGGCGCCCGCGGGAGGGAGGCGCTGCCGGCGGCCCGGCCGCTCCCGCTGCAGCTGCTCGCCGGGCTCGTCCTGCCCTGCCCGTCGGGCCCCGGCCGCTCTCGTCACGGCCGCCGCCCGGGTCGCCGCTGGTGACCACTCGCCGCGCCGCCGGAGGCTTCACCCGCGCCCTCCCCCAGGACGCGCCCGCGGAGCTCCGGCCCCTTCGCCCCGCTCGCGGAGACCGCGCTGCGCGCCGGGCGGCGGCGAGGCCGGAAGATGGCCTGGGTGCTCAAGATGGACGAGGTGATCGAGTCCGGACTGGTGCACGACTTCGATGCCACCCTCTCGGGCATCGGGCAGGAGCTGGGCGCCGGCGCCTACAGCATGAGGTACCAGGCGCCCTGGGCCGGGCGGGCGGAAGCCTCAGTCTCCTTGGGAAAGGCCTGCTCGACCCTAGGCCTCTGCCCACCCCGGTAGCGGGCGTGGGAGGGCGGCCGCGCAAGCTGCGGCCGGGGACCACTCGTGAGGGCTTCATTTTTGCTGTAAAGCACGCCCCGCTATTAGGATGGCTTGGGCTGGTGGGGGAAGGAGCTTCCTTTCCTTGCAAGTGTTTTACAGGCCTTTTAGAGCTGGCACACACCGTCCGAAATGGCAGGGCTCACACTGGGAAAATACTCTCCAAGGTTTTAGTATCAGTTCCTACTCTGTTGTCCTACATTGTAGTCTTTCTTGTTTGCCAATTGTAATCACTTGATATTACAGTAGTAATTATATCATAAGGGAGAGTAGCCACGGGAGAAAAGCACATTGCCTTAGGTATATTTTTTTATTGTCGCAAAGTGAAATTTCTCATTTTGGGGACTTCCCTCGCAGGCTGTTTCCTGCCGAAGAAGGCTGAGAGATGCAGTGATTGCCCCACAAACCAGAGTTTGTTAAGTATCTGCTGTCTGGCCCAGCAGCCATTCATTTTGCTTAATTCTGAGAGGTTGACACAGCTCTGAGCTTAGTGTCTGCCCTTTCTCCTGAAGAATACTGTTTTTTAACTCCTGTCAGTTTGGCAGCTCTTTATTTTTATTTCTTAGCATCTTTGCTGAAATACAGTTTACATGGTAGAAGTTCACCCGATTAAAAGTGTAAAATTCGATGGTTTGGCAGCTTTTTGTTAATGCGAATTGAGGTTTTCCAAATATGTTCATTGAAGTAAGGCCTCCTGTCTTTGGAGTGCTGTCCAGTTTCCCCAGAGGTTTTTCATACATGTCACCCAAGCCCTGGGGAACCAAGGGAGCACACGTGTCCTGACGACGACGGAGGGCTGGCTCGGAGCCCGCCTGGAATGATAGGGGCTGCTCCCTGTAATTCGGCTTTTAAGTCTTCGAGGGAAACCCTGGGCCATAGCGAACTCTGGGGAAGGTGGAGATGTTTCTTAGGGTGTGGACATGCACGGAGGACAGACTTTGGTCCCCAGTCTCTCTGACTCGGAATCTGTTGGTCCCCCTGAACTTGGCGCTGTTCTCTGCAGTTGTGCAACTTGCGGGCTCTGAATGAGGTGGCTTATTTTCTAGAACAACTCTCTCAATTGTTGAGGAAATTGAGCTATGTAAAGTCATAGGGTCGCCCCAGATGGGACTACTAGAGGCAGTGATTACCTAGGGAAGACCCTGGGCCTCAGGTGCAGTGAAGGCCTAAGCGGGCGGGTAGAGCAAAGTCACCTCTCTTTTTTCACTTGCTTCTCGCTTACGGTAAGATGCAAGTTTGCTGCTGAGAACCCTGCTTATTGAGGGTTATTTTGAGCTTTTACTTTTTTCTAGAGTTTTGTTTTAGTGAGTCAGCCAGCTAATTAACTTTTGTTCACGGTTTATTCCGTGAAAAGGAAATAAAATCTTCTTATTAAACCTTTCCCTCACCTTGTTCTTAAAGTAATGCCTGACATCCTTGTAATTCTGTGCCTTTTTCACCACTTTCCATGGGGTAACTTTTTCCACTGAATGTTTTTGGGTCCTGGTTATATGTTGTGTGTCATTTAATCTAAATGTTCAGGTATCTTCGAAGGCAAATACCGTTTTTAAGGAGCTTATTTAGTTTTTTCGTATTTCATTGTGTCCTCAAAAACTGAAGAGCCAGTGAGAGTACTTGCTTCGTGCAAATTCAAGCCCCCTTATTGGGAATTCAGACTTAGGAAATTCCCAAATTGAATTGATAAGGGAAAGGCAGGAGAAGGCAGAGGCTGTCGAGGGCCTCCTGCGATTGAATCTGCCGTTGGTGCACCTGGGCCCGAAGCTCCACCGGCTGGACCTCAGCTGCCCAGCATCTTTCTTTCTTGGGCAGTCAGTCTCTTTCTCTGGCATCCCATGGGAAGTAAGGCTGTTGATGCTTGTCTTTCTCTTTCATTTGTTCTTTCTTAAGTTTAAGAAGTAAACTTGAGGTGCTAAATTTGAAATTATTAGAAAAATGACTTCTTGAGAAAAACTTACTTTGTAAGCGGCTTTCCAGTTTTCTTTCAAAGTGAAGTATGCTTACTGTATTTGCTTTTTGGATGGCTTAAAACAAGAGGTCTTTTTAAAGATTTCTTTTAGGAAATGGTTTCCTCAGCTTTGGGGAAAGATAGCTTGAAAGGAAGAGGTGGTTTCTCTCAATAGTCTGACTTAATGTATTTGCATTAAACAGTGTAGGCTGATAGTACTGGGATATGTGGAGGCTAATTTCTGATATTATCTTTACTACTGTTTTTTTGCTCTGGTTTTTATTTTGTGTGTGTGATCCCGTGTTACTGTTGTTCCCACATTTGTATGTGAGGTATGAGCTGCTGCAGTCTATTTGAAATGAAGCATGTCCTAAATGTTTTCTAAAATCTTAGTTAAAATATCAGGATTCTAGCAATGGCCAAAGAGACCTTAGAAAACTAACAGACCGGTCCTCTTCTTCTAAGTGAGTAAACCAAAGCTCATAATTGTTAAAGTGATTGGCCCAAGCGGCCTGCCATGGTACCGTTCCAAATGCAGGCCGAGTTTCCCCTCGCTGAATGAAGGCCGAAACCCATTGTAACTTGAAATCTGGGTCATTCATGTTTTGTGAAGTAAAGAACAGACAACCAAATGACTTTAAAAAGTAAAACTCATTAAAACTCGCCTAAGAGGGTCTTTTGGGCCACCTGGTAATTTTCTTTCCATCTTACCATTCATATGTTATAATCTGTAGCAAGTTGATTTTCAGGATTTAAGGAGTAATGCAACTTCTTTAAATTATGCATAAAACTTTGCTATTAAATTACTACCTCACCAAGGGCATTGATCTGAGTCCTGTTAAACTTCACTATGGTATAAATCTGTTTTGAAGCAAAAGGTTTACTTTACATTTTCTGAAGTGGGAGGTACATCCATAGTTTACATGTCATTTGCTAAATCAAAACTGCTTTGAGGTGAAGACAAATTTCCTATATTGATTGAAAGGTTAAAATGTCAGTTTACAGATCCTCTGGGGTAATGGGAAAATTCCAACTATGATCAGTGTTAAGTTAGTAAAAGATTACTAAGGATATAGATTATTATGTAGCTATTAATAGCTGATTATTTCCTTTTGGTCTCAGGCTAAAACAGAATGTCCTTGAGTAGGTGACATGTCTTGGAAGTATGGAAAAATTTTAGGATCAGTGAAATTTTTAAAATTTATTATGGTGGTGCCTGAGATTGCTTCCAGAATTGGCAATAATTTCTATAAAACTTCTCATTTTAAAGTTTATCTCTGGATTTAATCTTGGCTGAAGTGCAGGAAAGAATTTAATAAATGGCTGATTAAAAAACATCGATTTCAGATTATAGTGTCCACATTGGTTTTTAAATTTATTCCTTAAAGCAGGGATTGGCAAGCCTTTTCTCTAAAAGGCCAAATAGCAAACATTTAAGGCTGCAAGCCAGAGGGTCTCTGTCAGTTTTTTTTTTTTTACAACCCTTTAAAAAATGTAAAAACCATTCTTAGATCATGATTGTACAAAAACAGGCCGCTGGATTGGGCCCTGGGCTGTAGCTTGCTGATCCCTGCTCTGAAGGATCGAGTCTAATAATAACTTTGATCGCCTTGGAAAAAGATTTGCTGAGTGTTGAAATCTTAGAGGCAAGAAGTAATTTTTATGTAGACTAGGAACTCTCTCAGTTAATTTACGTTCTATTCATTGTCCACAGATTTTATTGTGTTCAGTTTTTAAAATGAGGGTGTCCCCCCTCCCCACTAAAGGTAAGACTCAGTACAGTTTATATCCTTTAGTCAGGGCTGTGTGAAGCTTAGTAGTTTATTGATAAGGTCTCATGAACTTGCTGTGTCTCATTGCAGTGACAGGACACAAACATTGGCTCTTGGTGGAAATACCATCTGATGTCTCATCTTTTTTCGCTTTAGGCTCTGTGACTGAATTTAAGAGAAGCTCCGTAGTGCTTGCTTGGCTTGCTCTGGGACACCTAATAGATGGATGTCCAGCTGTTCTGCTGTGAACCTTAGGAGTAGGCTTTTTTTCTTTTCTTTAACTTCCTGCGTTTTTTGGAGATTGTTAAATTGTCTTGATTTAACTATGACAAAATTAGTTTTTATTCATTTATATGTTGGTAGTTGAATTTTTAACTTTTAAAAAAACCTTCTCATTTTAAAATAATTTTAGGTTTACAGGTTACAAAGATAATATAGAGAGGTGGTATATTCCCTTTACCAGCTGCTTCTGCTTCCATAACCAGTGGACAGTTTTCAAAACTGCGTGGGTGCAGAATTGCTATCTAAAGTACAAAATTTTTTTGGATTTCACAGTTTTTCCTCTATTGTCCTTTTTCTAATCTAGGTTCCATCTAGGTTCTAATCTAGGTTCCATATTGCATTTAGTTTTTGGCTCGTTCAATGACAATTTTTTAGTCTTTCCTTCTCTTTTGTGACTTTGACACCTTTAATATGTAGTGATCAAAACTGTCGTTTTTAAACATATAAAGTTTTTTTGGAAGCAAAGATAGAATATACCTATGAATACTATTTAGCTTTTAAAGGATCTCTGTCATTTTAGCAGAATGATTTTGAGTAGACTAAGACTACTGTTTGTGTCGTTCATTTATGAATTACTTTGTCTCGATCTATCTGAATAGAATATGCTGTGTACTTTGTAGTCCCTTCATGATCAAGGAATTTAAAAATTTATTAACAATCACAAATCGTTATGTATTACCATAAATGTTTTCTATTAAAAAATTATTTTCCACAACAAAACACTCAGTGAGAAGAGTGGCATTATCTTCTCCTTGTTGCAATCTCTTTAATGTCTGTCTTAGAAAAACAGATGTATTGTCCTGTCTGCTATTGGAATACATTGTTTTGGTTGACATGTGAAGAAAATCCAGCCTCACGTAGGTATGTGGTTGGA